CTCACAGCTTCACACACTGCCCTCTCAGGGACACACTGCCTGGCCTCCCAGGCCTTCTGAAATCGGGATGGAAGTCTTTTTAAATCTCAGAATGCTTGCATTCTGTATGCACCTAAAACCAGCCCCATGTGGATGCCAAGGTCTGCTGCCACTTGGAGCAATAGCTAGGCTTTCCTTTCTCTGCCAAGGTCTGCTGCCACTTGGAGCAGTAGCTAGGCTTTCCTCTCTCTTGGCTGTAGGGATTGAGTGCCTGGATCACTGGGCACTTTGAACCTGATTCTGAGGAACAGATTCTCTATGCTGTCTCCATTCTGGAGCCTGGTGCAGCCACTGCCACCAATCTGGAACATGGTGCTCTGAGGCTTTCTCCTCCAAGCCAAGTCTTTCACTTTTGCAATTTTGAGGCTGCAAAGTGCGGGGACCAGCTGCCTCTTCCTGTGATACCCACAGGTCATCTTTTTTATTTTTCTGTTCCTTCTAAGCAATTGAGATCTCAGCTCTATCTTTACAGACTATAGCTTTATTGAAGTTCCCTTCTGGCCAAACTCACAACATTTTAAATCACCCTGCTGGGCTCTTTGCTCTTGATTTGCAACATAAATCTGGCTAAAAGCACTCAAAAATAGCTATGCCACCACCTCAACATTCGACCGCCTTGAAATTTCTTCTGCCAGGTTAATCAGTCCACCATCCTTAACTTTAGTCTCAGGTAAAGTCTCTGAACATAAACAAAATGCAGATAAACTTTCTGCCAACCCATAAAATACATCATGTGGAGTCCAAGAACCAGTGTAGTCCTTCTTCCTGGCAGAAGCCTCCCGAGCCGAGTCTTTACCAGCAGCTTTCTATCAGCCTTCTGGTCTCCTGAACTCTGACCAGAATCTCCCTTACTGAACAGCCTAAGCTGTTCCAGCTCTATACATTCAGGCAACATCTCTGAACCTTTCCAAACTCATCCCAAAAGCCATTTTCAAAGGCTCTGGAACCCCATGGTCTGGTACAGTCACAGGAATGACCCCCCTCCTCTGGCGCCAAACTCTCTCTTAGTTACATTTTTCTTGTTGCTGGGACAAAATACCCCAAACCCAAAAAGCTGTAAGCTAAATAAACCTTTACTTCTTTCATTTTGGCTGTTGGGCATTTTGTCCCAGCAATGAGAAAAAAGTAAACAAGACAAGGACCCAACCCAAAAATGAGTATCTGAGGTGAATACGTACTTCTCAGATGAAAAAATACAAATAACAAATAAATATCCAAAAATTATTCAGCATCATTGGGCATTTGAGAAATGCAAATTAAAGCAACACTGAGATTCCATCTCACTCCAGAATAGCTGAGATCAAGAAATCACCCAGAAGGGGCTGGGGATTTAGCTCAGCGGCATAAGCACCTGCCTTGCAAGCAGGCAGTCGTGAGTTCGATTCCTGGTACCGATAAAAACGAAAAAGACAAAAAAAAATTAAATAAATTTCTATTAAAAAAAAAAAAAAAGAAATCACCCAGTGCTGGAGGGGCTGTGGGGGAGAAGGAAATCTTTTCCACTGTTGGTAAGACTGTAGGCTGGTGCAACTACTGTGGAATCAGGGTGGAAATTCCTCAAAGAGGCAGGATTAGAGATTTCATTTGACCCAGCTATCCTGCTTTTGGGCATTTTCCAAGAAGCACTGAAAACATCATACCACAGTGATATATGTGTACCCATGTTTATAGCAGCACAATTTATAATAACCAAATCTTGGAAACAATGCAACTGCCCATCAATCGAGGAATGGCTAAAAAAGATGTGGTGTTTTTATACACTGGAGTACTACTCAGCTCTAAAGAAAGATTGCATCGAGTCTTTTATAAGTAAATGGATGCAACTTGAGACCATACTCACAAAGTGAAATAAATCAAACTTACACGTGTAAGTACCACATTGTCTTCCTAGTGTAAGAAACTGAAAGAGCAAATGTGATTCAGAATCTATAATAAGTATTGTGTAAGGGTAAGAAACTGTTCAAAGAGGAAAAGTAACTGAGATGGGGGAAAGGAGGAAAGAAAGAAAGGAAAAGGAAAAAGACATACATTTGTATACATGTACATAAGGTAGCTAAAATGACTACTACTAATTGTATTAGTTCTGGGAAAGAGAAATTTAATGCTCATATGATTAGATCAATTTTACATGTCTATAGCTGGTAATCTAAGCAACCCTTTTGAAAGTAACAATATAAAATATTACAACTATCGCTAAATTTATATTATCTTGTTTTGTAAACCTATACTGTTATTGTTTTGGGTTTGTTGTTGTTCTTGTTTGTCTCTTTTGCTTTTTGTTTTTTGTTTCTGTGTCTTTTTTTCTCTTAAATTAAAAAATAAGGAAAAGAAAGAGGTGTTTTTTCTTTGACTAGGTACAAACAGTGTTGTTAAAATGGGCATACTACCAAAAAGGATGTATAGATTTAATGCAATTCCAGTGAAAATCAATGGTATACATCACACAATTAGAGAAAACAATCTTAAAGTTCATAAAGTACTAGAAAATACCTAGAACAATAAAATTGTCCTGGTCAACAAGACCAAAGCAAGAAGCATCACAATCTTGGACTTCAAGTTTTATTAGCAAGTTATCTGAGAAAAAAAAACCAGCATGGTATTGGTACAAAAGAAAAATGTTAAGCAATGTAACATAATAGAGTATGTAGAAACAACAGAACCCATATTCACTCATCTGATCTTTGACAAAGGAGCCAAAACATATCCTGGAGAAAAGACAGCTTCTTTAACAAATGATGCTGGCAAAAATTGTCATAAACATGTAAACTAATGAATCTAGACTCATATTGCTTGCCTTGTGCACAACTAAAATGAAAATAGAACCTAAACCTAGATATTAAACAGAAACAATCTGCTAGATGATCAAACATGTAAAACTTGAATAAATCAAACACATAGGCAAAGATTTTCTAAACAGAAATACAACTACAAAACAACACCAAGAATTAAAACCTGGGATAATATCAAGTTAAAAAACTTTTGCATACAAAAGGAAAAAATCACCAAATTAGGAAACAAGTTACAAGACAGAAAAAGCTTTTGCCAGGTACTCTTTGCAAGAGCACTAATATCCAGAATATGAAAAACTGAAAAAACTAGACCCATAGAAATATAACACCCAATGAAACAATGGGCTATTGAAATGAATAGACACTCCTCAGAAGAAGTAAAAATGACTAATAAGCATATAAAATATGTAGCATTTTGGCCATCACAGAACTGCAAATGAAAGCAATATTGAGATTCCAGAAAGAATCAAGAAACACGAACACAAGCTTTCAAGTTAGGGATTGGCATTATTAATGATTACAAACCCATTTGACATGTGAAGGTACTAATTGTGTCAAGATAATGTGATTATAAGAGGAGAATAACACAGGAAGAAAGCTTAAATAGAATCAGAACTAGTATCGTAAACAATGACATTATATTGGCTTCTCATGGAAAATCCAGCCTATTCACCATATCATAGGTCTAGTTGTTGCTGTAAAGGAAAACATCTCTCAATCAGGGTTAATCAGAAAGGTAACTGACCATCAGACAAACCAGCCAATGTGATGGGTGGGCCCAGGCATGGAATAATGTGTTACCAGTGGTTCATACAAAGATCATCTGTCTGATCTGTCCTTTTTTCCTATACTGGTTCTAGGACTGACATACACACACAGCTAGATGCAAGTATAAAAGGCACTAATTTAAGGAAGTGCATACTTCAGAAGACCTCAGCAGAGATTGTCTTCCTTTCACGTTGGCCAGCACTGGGTCAGTTCCCCATTCCTTGGTTAGTAGGGAGCCCGCAGATGGGACAGTCATGGTGGCCTCAGATGAATGTATGGAAATGAGATGGCTCTTAGCAGGACTCAGCTCTTACCTATCCTGAGGGACTCAGCTAGACAATACTCCCTCCAGGATGCTTTCTCTGGCTTCTTTCCCAAGACCCAGACAGCACGCCTTGCTCTGAGTTCTCACAATCAATACCTACCATCTCCCCTCTCTCAGCTCCAACGCCATTCAGCTGGTCTCAGATAAGGCCAGCAGCCAACAAAGTTTGGCAACATTGTGTGGTTTGTCCACCACAGAGCCCTGCCCCAAGTAGATGTTCACAAGTATCTATCAGGTGAAGTAAAAATATAGATCCTCTATAAACAACTCACTTAAATGTTAACCCCATAGAATTCATATTGACCCATATGGCAAAGGACATTCCTGCACTGTGAGATCAGGTAATGGCCCTAACATCACACAACCAGGAAGAGACTGAATTCCATGCCAGGTCTGTCTGACTCCAGATGCACGTGCCCTTGGTGGCGGGGCGAGGCCTCTCTGGATTCTTTTCCCTCTCCGAATTCTGAACTAGAGAGTAATCTCCAGCTACAGAGGTCAGGAATGAAAGACCTAGAGGCTGGTCCCTGCATTGAGCTCGTCTGGGGGATCAGGTCATTCCTAGAGCCAATGTTACCACCCTTTTCTAGTGCCAGGCTGTCTTCTCAGTGACCCAAATATTGTCCAACAAACTTCATCAATTTCCTCTCATATTAGCTTACATTCTAGTGATAGGGACAAGAAAGTTACAGCTAAACAGGCAAATGCACAGCATGTTGGGGTGATGAGAGTTGTGAGGAGAGTTGTACTGATTTTGACAACTGAAATAATGACACTGGGGCTGGGACTGCAGCTCACTGGTATGGCACTTGACAGCCATAGAGAGGCACAGACCTGAGCATGATCCCCAGCACTGAAAACAAACAAACCCAAAAACCAAAATAAGCAAAACAGTGACAGTATATGATATTTTTGCCAACTTTCCCAAATGGTAGGGAACATTCCTATGAAGATAATTTCCGTTCTAAAGAACAGAATTCCTTTGTCATATTGTGATGCTTTTCCAGAAATGGCAAATTCCCATGGGTAAATGACTGAGCCCTGTGCAAGGCAAAGAGTGCTAAAAAGTATTCACCTACCTTCTATGATGCCAGGGAAAAAGGAGTCTGTGTTGCAGCCATATAAGAAGTAGGTCAGTCAGCACTGTCCAGTCTTTTGCACACAGGTGTTCTATAATTTTGGGTCTTCCACATATAAGTTGTATCCTACCAGGCTGAGAATGGAGGGTATGGCATTAGTACTGTCACATAAAGTACGGTGATGTCAGTAAATACCTAGCAGTGCCTATTTCTGAGTGTAAAAGAAAATGAAGAAACCAACATGGTCCTTGCAAGGTGGTCTGAAAGAGACAGGACAGCAGAGGGAGCTGAAAGGAGGGTCCTAGGGACTAGGAAAGATGAGGAGGGGCCAAAGCAGCAGGAGAAAGTCTACAAGAGAATCTCTTCTTGCCAGTGAAGAATTCACCTGGTCACCAAGATCACTGATCAGTGAGCTCACATCACATATACTGCTGACAGTCAGCTGAGGGACATCTACACCTCTCATCTACAAAACAACACAACCTGAGTGGCAAGGATATATTCATGCAAGCAGCCTTTTACCAAGGATACATTGTGTTCAGTGGCCTTGTTGGTGAGATATCCAGTGTAGCCCCATTGTGAAGACAGAGCTCAGTCTGAGGAAGTCAAATTCTGTTCAAGAAATGGTATAGGGAGGAAAAGACTGGAGACTCCACTGGTAGTAGACAACTGGCAGTAGGGTGGGGATAGAAGACACGATGCTTCCTACCCCTTCAATGAACAGAAATCTGAACACAGGATCTGCTATATCCACTCACCCACAACATATTATTTCTAGCTGGCATAATGATACCTGTCAACTGAGAAGTGGGAAACTATGGCACTCATAGCACATGATTCTGGACCCTAGGCAGTGTGGGGAGAAAAAAACATACACACTGGATGAACAGAAAATCCAGCTGAAATACTTTCGGCATCTGCTCATGCGCAACACATAGTACTTTAGGATAAGGGTTCTCAGAGTCCTACCAGTGTTTGAAGCAAGGCACTGAACAAAACAAGGCTCAAATCATGAGCCATGGAAGGATTGGAACAGAGAGGCGGTCCTGAAGCCCAGGTGGTCTGGAAGAGCTGCTTCCTTAGGCTGGTGTGACACACAGTGCAGAAAAGTAGGACCAGTGATGTTTCACAAGGCAGAATTTTCAGATTTTGGAATATTTGCATACACATAATGACATATTTCAGGGATGAGACTGGAGCCTAAACATAAAATCCTTTTGCGTGTTATTATAGATGTCATATACACACAGCCTAAAGGTAATTTTATAGAATACTTTCAATGCATCTGTGATTGTGTGTGTATTCTGTGTGTGCTCATGCTCGTGTGTGTTTGCTGGGGATTTAACCCAGGGTCACAGGGATGCTAAGCACACCCTCTATTGCTGAGCTACACTCCTACCATGACTGCAAAGTATCAGAGGTCAGGTGTGGAATTTTCCATTTCCAGTATCATGCTGGTGCTCAAAAATATTCAGGTTTTAGAGTATTTTGGTTTTGGAGTTTCAGATTAGGGACCCTGGGTTTGTATTACTATCCCTACTTTCAAATGATATAAACGAGGATCGGAGGAGTTCAGCTACTCAAGGTCACACAGGTAGGTAGTGACAATATTTATTTCTCACTCACTTAGGTCTTTAAAATGCAAAGGTCTCTGTACTATTCCTTACATCAATCTCTCTCACTACAGTCAGCTGCTGTAATTCACAGTCAGCTGTTGTAATTCACATTCAGCATCTTGTGCTTATAATGCTCCCCTTACCTTGAAATTGTAATTATCTGCTGATATCATACATAGATTCTGTTATAGCCCAGGACTATTACTTTAAGAATGTCAATTCTCCCTGTAATGAATGACTGCCTGGCTTAGAACTAAACAGTAATCTTGAGAGCAGCTTCAACCCACTTGCTGAGGAAACAGATTACCAAGATGTAGTTTTAACTATTTCATAGAACACACAAATGATTTTCAGCGCAGTTTATCTCTAACCAAAAAGAGTTCAAGCAGTGCTTCCCTACAAAATTTGTACGCCAAACACTGTGTTGAATGCCAAGATGGTCCAGGTAAAGAGACACTGCCCCTGACAGGGAGCTGCTGAAATTTTGCTCCTTCAAATATACAAATCCTTCCTTTCTGGCCTTTCTCTCCGTGCTGGTAGATACACTGAGAGGCTTAGCCAAGCCAGGCCATTCACTTGGCCTTTTTGGATAAGTCAAACAAAACAATCCTAAAACATACTGCTGAACACACAAATCCGATACCCCCAAGAAGGCTGTGTGAATCTAGGGAGATGATACTGGAAATCTGTGACTAATCCTAACACCACATTTCTGAACCCACTGAAGTCCACTGCTGTACTCAAGCAAAGGAGATAACCGAAGATGCCTTTCTTCCCTGACTACCACACGCTTCAGCCTGCACAGTTACTTGATAATGACCCATATTTGTGCGCTAAGGCAGGAATCCCAGAGCCTATGAAAAGCATGTGTACTCATTCCTAAGTCACATCCTGACCACAGAACCTCTCAAGAGTTCTAGGAAGAGTTTTTCTGATGGTTCCGTTTGAGAAATGTTGCTGGTCTCGAAAACATTTGAATGATTCTGTCTCACACTGTGGGGTGGGAGAGGAGGAGGGGAGAGAGGCGATGCCAAGGGAACTGGTTACTTCTGGGGGAGTGTTTATTTCCTTTTTCTTTTTCTTTTTGTAAATCGGGGTCTTGCTATGTAGTTCAGGCTGGCCTTGAACTCTCTGTAGCTCAGGCTGACCCGAACTTGGCACAAACCTTAAGTGCTGCGATTACAGGCATGTGCCACCACGCAAGCCTGAAATGGGTTATTTCTGAACCAAACTCGAATGTGACGCCTGTGACACCCCGGCTGCTAAATGATGCCCACAGAAAGTTTACATCCTATTTCCTCTCTTAAAAGACAGCAGTCTCCCGCTACAGAAAGAGCAATATGCGACACGCAGACTGTTCAAACGCCATTCTGATGGCGAAGCGAAGGGCTCTCCAAGAAAAACAACACTCCTCTCCGGGGCGCCCTTCACTATTGGCCGAGGGACCATTGTGGTCTCGACACACACTTGCCCTGGTGCCCCACTCCTCTTTCCTTCTCTCCCCTGCCCCACTGTAGGGCGGTTGTTGTCCCTGACTCTCCTTCCCGCCTGCCTGAAGCTCTGGCTCCCTCTGCATCCTGCACCACCCTCTTCCTCCGTCTCTCATTTGGCCTCTCGGGCCTCTCTGGTTTGCTCCTGAGCTCTTTCTGTGGCGCTTTTTCTATGTCTCCCTCTCCATCCCTTTTCCTCTCTCCCCGGCCCCTTGGGTTCATCCTTCTCAATATCTCTCGGCCTGTCTCACGCGCATTCGTTCTCCAGTGCAGGTCTCGCCGTCCACTCGCAGGCGCGCCGCCTCCTTTCCCCAGAGCAGGAAACACTGAGAAGCGGAAGAAGTCAGGAAGGGGTTAAGATCGCCGAGAGGAGCCCGCATCTGGCGGCTAGAGAGGCGGAACAGGGAAAGCCGTGTGCACGCGCCAGGCCTCGGTCACCCACCCGGAAGCGACGTCTCAGAGCAGCTGGGCCTTTTTTTTAAGGCTGCGGCCACTGCAGTAGCAGTCCGAAAAGGTGGTTGGGAGTGCCACTGCCAGTGAGGCCTGGCTGCTGATTGGGACTCGCGCCATTCCCCTCCGCCCCGCCTAGACCACTTGTCCCAGCTGACTCCGAATAGCGCCCCGCCGCGGCCCCCGGAGCAACCTCTGCCCTGTGGGTTTAGGAATCCATGCTGTTCGTCAAGCCCATGGGAAGCGACTCCTGGGAGCGGACGTGACGTCATCGACGTGGCCCGTGGGAGCCGCGGAGAGGTCTCGAGAGGCTGCTGGCCCCAGTTCAGCGGGCTGGTTCTGGTGCAGAGCGTGCACGTGAAAATCGATCGCGGATTTTGCTTTGGTTCATTGCCTGGTTGTGCGTGGGCGAAAGAAGTCCAGCAGGCAAGAGGAAAACCAAATCAGTAACAAGTTTCGCTCATGAGTTTCATTTGTTAGGCCTTATCTGCACTTATTGGCAGAGAGCTCCAGATGTGTTGGCTAGGGTGTCTCAGTGAGGTTGCACTTTCCTTTTAGATTTAGAGGAAGGAGCAGACTAGCTGTAATGGGGAGAGTTTCTGCAGGTGTGAGGGTTGTAATCAGAAAAGCTTGAAGCCTGCTGAACCAGGGGATGTTTAGCTCTGTGCCCAACTATTTTTAGCAGGACAAACTTCCATTCTAAGTGTATCATCCCGAGAAACAAGGAACAAGAAATAGAAGGTCTGTTACCTGAGAGTGTTACAGAGTGAGGGCAGAGTGGACGCACAGCAAGCCTCATTAGCTAGGTCTTACCGGGAAGCCTGGCCCTGTGTGGGCAGCGGTTTCCTAGGACAAGAAAGTGTAGGGATTTCTGTGCCGTGGCTTGTTTCAGGAAAGAGGTGAAGCTCAACATGGCCAACAAAGTGAATTTAAGCCAGATGTCTTTCACGTGCGTCTAGGCAGATAGGTACATAAGATTAGATTCCCTTTTTACCATGAAAGTGTCTTACCATGCACAGCCATTTGTAACATTTAAAAATAATTTTTTTGTGGTCTAAAGGCCAAAATGAATTAATCCCAGAAGACTATGGGGCCTGCCTTTTACAAATGAGGTGACTCACACAGAGTGTAAGTCACTTGCAAAAGGTCACACAAAGAATAAATGGTGGCTCAGATTGAATGGTAGATGTCCGTGGCTTTATTACATCCCTGGTATGCAGCCCTACACTGTTATTTCAAGAAGCACATAACTAGCTTAATCTTCTAAACTACAGACCTCTGAGACAGCTGACAACCCTCACCCTTCCCAGTCACGTGGCACTGAAGGGATTCTACACAACCTGCAGGGCAGAGAATAGTGTAGAAGATCTTAGTAAAGGCCCATGTTACTCCACTGAAGGAGACAGACAGACTCCAGACAGGACAGTAGAGGATCTGAGGAGTATGTTTCAGTGGGAGACAGGCTGATGGGATATATTGCACAAAAGTGATAAGAAACACTGACAGTTTGCAATTGTTTAACCCCTTTTCTTGTTTCCTTCCTGCCTGTACTGACAATACCATTCTCAAAGTTGATGTGTAAACCAAACCAACAAAGGAAATAAACACAAAACCAAACCAACATGGGTAGGAGAGAGATTCCCATTTTACCTGGGGAGTATGTGGCCATAACACCATCATGCTATGGTATGTAATGTATAAAATACTATTCTGTGCTAAGTCAATGTTGTGTTTCCTAATTAGTATTATTCTCATGTAACAGGTGAGGTATGTTAGGCATAAAGAGGTTAGGTCAGCTTCTCAAATTCCCTCATCATATGTGGTTGAGTTTTGTAGCTACTAATGCTCAATATGTCCCATGCTGATGGTGTCCACCTTGACCCTTTGCCATTTGCCCTTCCTGCAGTGCTGCCCAACTCAGCAAAAGATAGCACCTTCTTCCTTGCTGCTTAGGCTAGAGGTGCTTGAAGCCATCCTCGATGACTGTCCCTCTGACTAGCCGAGTAATCCCAAAGCCCAGACCTCAGTGAGGCTTTCTAAGGAAGAGTTTTATAATCCCATCTATCCACTACCACAGTTAGTCCAGTCACCCTCATCTCTCTCCTGGACAATCACCATCAAGTCAGAGCTCATGCTCTTGCCACCAGTCCTGACCCTTCCTGCACACTGTATCCTAAGGCCAGAGGGGCTTTCCCACTTGCCAAGCAGGTCGTGTCACCCCTGTTGAAATACTGCAGGTTTTCCCACATGTTCTTAGGATATATGCAGCCTTTTAGACTGGGCACATCTGGCCTTACCTAGTCCCAAATAACATTTCAAGCATGTCGCCCCCTCTCACATCTGACACCCACATTCTAGCCCATCTAATGCTCTTTTGCTCAGCAGGTGACCCACCCTCAGCCTTTTCCTTGCTGTGATATGGATATCCTGCTGATGAACTTACCTTTCTTTTGTATACTCCTCCTCCTTCCTCATCTACCTGATTTTTACTTACCTTCTGTTTTCAGGTGAAGGAGAGCAATTTCCACTTTAATTGGGATTAGCTGGGTGAAGAGGCACACTTAATGTTTTGCTATCCCATGGTAGACGTTCATAAGAATTCCCCAGATGACTCAAGTAATTGTAATAGAATCTGAGGGCAGGGTTTTTGAAGCAAAGTCTTATTTGCAAATATGTATGATACTGAGATGTGACTAAAGAGGGTAAAAGCTTAATTTTGCTACACTGTAGTAATCATGTCCCTCTGTGTATGTGTACATGCCTATGGAATCATGTTTCATACCTCCTATGTATATATTAAAAAGTTTTAAAGAAATAAGGACACCTCCATAAATATAATGAAGGATATGCATGGAAGCTTTTAAGAAAAAGTGTACAGTACATATAGCAGAGATTTGCCTCTGATTTATAAGGCCCTAATTGCATTTGAAGTTGGAATTTGCAGTTGTTTTGTGCTTGTTTTGTTTTGAGACAGGGTCTTTCTATGTAGTTCAAGCTCGCCTTCAACTTGTAGCAGTCATGCCTCAGTGTACCAAGTGCTAGGATTACATGTGTGCACCACCATGCCTGGCTGGACACAGTTTATGTGCCATAAAGTGATCCAGTCCAGGGACCAACCTGTCACTGATGGAGGAAGAAAAACACTGAAAGTGTATTTCCCTTAATGGTGTCTTTTGCCAAGTAACTTAAATACACAGGACTTGAACAATCCTAGTTTTGGTGAAATGAATTTTCACTCATTTTACATTACAATATGAGTTCTTCCTTTGCTAAAATCTCACATTGCGTGCTGACTAGCCTGGGATATCTATGACTCCTGGTTTTCTGGTTCTTTATATCTGATGAACCCCTTCCTGACCGCACCTTGGCCCTCTGACCATCATACCTCCAATATCCTGTTTAGTTGTCTTCTGAATCGTGGCTTCCCACTATCTGGTGTGCTCTTTCTCACCCACTGTTGTCCAGGTCTTCATTTCTCTCTGGAAGGTTCTGAAGCCAAACATGTGACCGGCTGTCTCATTGCCATGTGTTTTCTGATACTGTTACTATACAGACATAGATACTTGGCAGGTCTGGTGAAAAAGGAATGTAGAGTTGTTTGCCATCAGAAAGAAGCTATACTGGAAAATGGTTCTTTGTAAAATAGCAATTCTTTCTGCCCTGTTGTCATTTTCTTGAAACATGAATCTATCTGCCATGTGATCCTAACATGTGCACTCACGGAATAGCAAGAACAATTACAGATTTGTCCTTTCACTGAGTTGTAATTTTCCAGGAAAGAAAGAAAGATGTTCTCTTTCCAGTCTTTGTTTCATGGTACATTGTGTGTCATGAAGGTTCCTAGAAAGTGATAACATTAAACTTTGGTGTCTTAGAAATCTAGATAACATTCTGCAGTAGTTTACTGTTTTTTTAGCCCAACCAACAGATGATCTGAGCATGTGCTCTTGTGTTGCAAGCATGGACTCTCTCAGGGCTAACACATCCTCCCTGGCATAGATGTCATTTACCTGCATCCCTTCCCATACGCTGGCACTGAATTCTGCTTTCTGATGTCAGTACTGAAGGGATAGGGTTGGATACAGTATCATTAGTCTTCCTTAAATAAAGATCAAGGTGCAGCTTGGAAAGATGTTCTAATGAGCTAGACTCTCCTGCTATCCAACCAAGGCCCCAGGAACAAGGATCAAGGATCTCAAGTTTCAGGGCAGAGAGCTGTAACATGAATGTGTCTAATTACTTTCTGTTAGGCCTCAGAATAGTCAGACTACAACCGTTTATGATGAGATGGGAACATTTTATACATTCCTGAGATATGGGTCTCAGTGTATTTTGCCAATCAGATTTCTACAATTGGAGTCAATGGAAACCTTGTGATTTTCTAAACAGTAGCAGTATTCTGACCCTGGGGCATAGTCCAAAGAAATCAGATCATATAATTTCAATCATGTAGAGAAAGACATTCTGTTCCTGAGAGCTCTATTATACAACTTCTGAGACAGCTCAGTCCAGCCTGTCACTGTGATTCTGGACATTTGTGAGGTTTAAACATCAACAGATCATAAACACCTCCTTTATGGACTTGGCTATGTGGCAGTCTCTCTTTATGGAGTTGAACACTTGGGTTTTAGCTGTTTGTAACCTGAGACCATAAACCCAAGACAGACCATGCCTGCTTCTCAGACATGGATATCGCATCAGCTCAGAAACATCACACGATGGACATGGACTGCCAAATAATACCTCAAACTCTTTATCACAAAGCCCAGAATATACCAGTGACATACAGAATCCAGACACCAACCCAGGAAAGCACAATTTAAAAGCCTTGGAAGCACTGGAACCACAACACTGATCTCAAACTCCTCAGAAAGTTCAATGATGAGAACTGAAAAACAGTCCAGGGAAATCTTTTTTGTAAAATACATACCCCGTGTATGACAGCAACTTTATTACTTGTAATATAGAAACCATATTGCTCCCAGACTTTATACTCTGAACACAGAAGCCTCCAAAATTACAGAGGCCAGTTCCACAGGTACAAACACATAAAGAGCTGAGAGGACATGGGAACTTCATGTACCAGGTCACATGCAACAAATACTTAAGACTTCAGAGTGTGGTGCAATTTCCTGCACAGCCCAAAGTTTATAACCTGACAGTCCTCAAACTGTGGGCAGTCTGTGAGATTCAGACTTATAACCAGTTCATAGGGTCATCCAAAAGGGAATGATACCTATCTTTTT